ATCCTGGCAGAACTCAAGGTAAGATTTTTATTTGTTCTTACCAGTGAAAATCATCTGACACACAGTTCCCTTACTGAAAAGTTTGCCGCCAGGTTGGGTTTCAGGACATTTACCAAGGTTTCTGCTGCTTTTCCCAAACCTTGGAGAAACTGAGAATGAAAAATCAGAACTTCTCTAACCATTCTAAAATAGATTTTTTTTTTTTTTACCTATTTTGGAGTAGTTTTTGTCCTTATTGGCCAAAATATTAATAATTCAGATTTTTTTTCTCTTTGTAATGCCTTACTTTAAAAGGATATCTTTTCTTCCTGATCTCAGTCATATACTTAAAACTGGGAACTTAAAAGTTTTTCACTGGAAAACATATTCTCCTTTGAAATGTACTTACACCTAAAGTGATAGAGGATATGGCTTCTCTTGTCCCTGACTTTAAGGAGCTCTAATCCACAATGATGCCAGACATTGTGCTAGTACTGGGGATCCCAAGGCAACTGAGAAAACCCCTGCTTCAAAAGGTTTTAAATTTAAACATGCAAGAAAAAATAAATAAATGTCATACAATATTGAGGTGAGGCATGTATGGTAACGGGAAGAGAGAAGTCCATGAGAAATTAACAAATACTACCTTGGGAAGGAAGCATCATGAATGACAAATGATTACACAATGGTGATGTCTCTACCTACTATTGAACAAAAAAATAAGATTTTGTAGATGAGTAGAGATACAGATTTGGCAAACTGATATGCTCAGGGAATGGCAAGCAGATCAGTATGTATATAAAATGACAGCATAGAAAAATATTCTTCAAGAGATAAAAGGGGGTAGACAGGAAGGATTTACTTTACAGGATCTATGACATCTCTAGGAACATTGTGGTTGCTTGTCCTACACCCATCCACCCCATTATGTGACAGCTGGGAAGTTTGAGTGAGATTCACTCCACTCCAAGTTCAGGGATAAGCCACACTCGGCCTCAACCACCAAAATAATCCCACCCTTGTTGCCACAATACTTGGTTCAGTGAGAGATGCTAGCCAAGGCCTAAGTGAATCAACTCACTGCAATTTCCTACCCAAAAGGATTTGTTCAAATAAGGTCCAATCAGCATGAAGCTAAGAGCTTTTTTATATAGTTGTGGGAATTGACTACAATTACCCTTCCTGTGAAAACTTCTTGCCTCATTTGCAACTAAACAAAGCTAGCTAAGTGGAAGGATGAAGCTAATAGAGCTGAAGAGAGAGTCAAACAAAAAGCAAGGAAAAAAATGCATCAGGCTCACCCTCTATTTTAGTGAGATGATCCAGTCGATTTACCTTATCATTTAGATACAGTTTGTATTAAATTCTCAAATGCAGCACCCTATAGGAGCCATGGAAACATTTTAGTTAGAAATGTAATATTACCAGTTTTATGCTTTAGAAAGACCATTCAAACCACAAGTACAGAAAAAATTTGAAGAGCATAAGGTTATAGCCAGGAAACTCTGTTAAAAACCTACTTCAGTAGCCCATGTGAGGGGTGATAAGGGCCTACAGCAGTGGTGATGGATTCAACACTCAGATATCAGACATAATGAGAAAATGAAACCTATAAGATATAATGATTTTTGGCCTGGGGCAGAGGGATCAGGGAAAAAATGGGCTTATTTTATGGTTATTATTCGGCTTCAGGGTTTTAGATATACTATCTTTCATTAGACAGAAAATGCTGGAGGTGGAATAACTTTTCAAGAAGATCTGACCATGGCAATTTTACAGCAATTGTAAGAAATATAAATGAAGATATCAGATAGCATTGGCTATACTCAAAGCAATATTTTTGTGTAAAATATAAATTTGAGCACCATAAATACCTAGGGTTGAATACATTGAGTCATTATAAAAATAATAAAGGATAAAATTCAAAAGGAGGACTAATATTTAATGTATGGGCAGAGGAAGAAGATCTAATAAAAAAAAATGCAGGCAATGCCCAGGAAAGTAATAGGAGAACCAAGAAGAGTTGTACCAGAAACCAAGGAGGGCAAGAATGACCAGAAGAGAATGAGAGAGACATTAACAAGAAAATAGAAAGTAAGAAAAATATTCATTCATTTACAAATGTTTATTAGGCTCTGACTTTGTGCTAGGTGCTGTTCTAAGAGCTTAGGATACACAATGCAACAGGAGAAGTTCATATTCAAACAGAGCTTCCAAGCTTTGTGGGTCATTTCACATATTTGACAAAACAGCTCAGAGGGGCCTAGAAGAGGTGGGATAGGTTTGAATCAAAAGCGCAAATGGAGAATAAGAAACAGGATATGAAGGTAAGGAGGTTGACTGCTCTTGATTTTCTCAGGCAGAGGGAGGGTCTGTGCCTCATGGTCTTACAAAGCCATGCACACGACTCCATTTTATTGTTGGAATTTTTTTAAGTAGTATTTCCTCCAGTGAACAGTGAGCTCCAAGCAACCAGCAATGGTGCATGTCATCTATTTCTCCTATAGTATGAGAAGTGCCTGGAACATGTCACATGCTTAACAATATATTCTAACAAAATATTCCCAGGGCAAGCCTGAGCATTCCCAATTTAAAGAGCTATATGCTAAATAAAGGTAAAGGGATTTCCAAATAACTTCAGTTAGTACCCAGTTTATTTCTATGAGGTCCCAAGAATCTGTACCATAAATAAAACAAAACATGTCAGGATTATAGTGGGATTTTCTTTCTAGCTTTTATTGTATTTTCCTACCATCAAAGCTATAGATAACATACACCAACAACTCCATATGCCTTCAACTTATACCCATGGCACTTGTCATCTGCTTTTGTTGACTAAAAACCCTTAAAAGAGGAAGTTATTATTTACAGTTTATTCTTTCAAAAATGTGCAAAATACTCATGTAATGAGATCTCAGAATTAACACTACTGCTAAAAGTCTGGATAGCACTAGCCTTTCCAAAGCATAAATAGATATAGAAATCCCATAAAGTCCTTTTTATTAATGATAAAGTTGGAATTGCTTTTTAGTTAAGCAAGCCTTTTCTGTTGGCTAACTTCATCATTATTTTCTATGAAAGAATGGGACTTACAACACAAATTTAGGTTTTGCCTTTATATAGGTAAGCCCACAATTGCAATCGCCATTCTCACCCTTTGCTTCTTTCTTCCCCAAGTATCTCATAAACATATAAATAAACCATAGTTCATGACCCAGTGAGAAAGAATAAAATGCCTTACTTTTTAAAATTGTATTTCTTTCAGAGAGACTTTGCATACCTTTGAAGCTCAAGTTACGGAACTTTCTTCATCTTTAGTTTATAAACTTGTTTTTAGTTCTAAAGAAAAGGACAGTGGGAAATAAAATATGAATCTGTAGCCACTACCACTGATCCTACAGAAGATATTACACCTTCTATTAAGGATAAATTATTAATACTTTGTACCACATTTCAAATCTAATTATCAAAAATTAATATGGTGATTATTTTTAAGTGCATGCCAGTGAACCACTTAATCTATGTGTTTGTTAGAAGCAAAAAGTTTGCTCTGTGATTGTTGGCATTAATTTATGAGACTATGATGCATTCCTTATTAATTCTCTTGTATATGTGTATCTATTGGGAATGTGTTCCTCTATAAGTAACAGAAAACCCAATTTATAATGACTTACACTGATAGGGGTTTATTTTTCTCAAGTATTAAGAAGTTTAAAAGTAGGCGATGGCTGTAGTTGACTGAGCTGCTCTATGACATTGTCAGGGAATTACTCTTTCCATCTCTTCTACTGTACCATCTTTAGGGTGTTAATTTTTTCTTATGAATACCAGATTATGATCACAATATGTCTATTGCAGATTCAGATATCCTGTCTTTTCAAGGCCAGAAAATATTGGGAGGAATGATGTTGGCCACCATTTCCCTATTTCAAGAAAGGGAACCCCTCCACATACTATAATTTAGGTCTCATTGGCCACTGTTAGCTGTAAAAGAGACTAGAAAAGCAAAGAAGAGAATTCTAGTGATTATATTACACCAAACATTATGCATTGCCCAGGGTTGTGCTCATTGTTGTCCCAAACTCAAAATAGGAGTACAATAATGAAAAAGAATGGAAGACATTGACTTTGAGTAGAAAACTAGCAATATTATTGTCAAAACTGCAAGGGGGTTTTGGTCTGGGTCTAGATGCTCATTGCACAAAGATCCAATTATTGAGACAACAAGAACTGCAAAGGAAGAAAGGAATTTTAATATGATACATGTCTTGTGGGAAGAACATAAGGAGCTTCCTCCAAAATATCTCTCTGACTAAGGGAAATCATGTGCTTTTAAAGGAGGGGCAGGTTGTAGTACAACTAACAAGGGGCTAGCTACATGCATTGGGGCAGGTTATGGACAATGTTGAACCTTGGTGTCAGGAAGTCTGCCCAGGGGCCTTCTGAATTTCAGCAACTTTGTCTTGCAGAAAATCTACCATTTCCAGGAAAAAATTCAAATATCAGGTAGTTAGTTAAACAGGAGAATTATTAGGGGTCATTGAAATTTGTTCATTGGGTGGCAGTTACAATGTCTGCCACAGTATATAATAAAGTATTATTGGGCATGTATAGAGAATACAGTTTAATTTTTTCTTACTTTTTCTAGTTAAAAAAAAAAAGAGTTTAGATAGTAACAAGTCCACTATAAGTACCTCCAGAGCAAAGGTGGTGACTTCCTCATTATTTTGTTATGATGCGATAACCAATGTACAGTGGATATCCAATAACATTTGGGGATGGATGGATAAATAAATGAACAGACAAATGCATCCATATGTGAATTACTGATTTTGAAAAACTTTAATGCCATAACATCACTCGGTACTAAAATTATATTGAATAGCAGATGATATTTTACTACATATTATGTAGTTGTCATCCTCTCATGCTTTTAACTTCCGCAAAGCTATTTGAAATTTAAAGGCAAGTTCCTCTCTCAAAAGGGAGATGCTGAGTTATTAAGATATGAAGTAGGCCGCCGGCCCTTCCCCGCCCCCCGACATGGGGCTGCCCGGGGAGCAGGACGCTGCGGACCGCGGCGGAGGACGCGCCTGGCGCCCCTGAGCCGGCCGAGCGGCGCGGACCGCGAGATGAGGAAAATGAGGCCCAAAGAAGTTATGCCACTTGGTTAAGGTCCCAAAGCAGGTCAAAACCAGATCTAGGATCAGAAACCTGGCTCCTGGCTCTCTCTTCTTCTAAGGATCGCCTTTCCTGACAAAAGAGGTAAGGAACTCCACTACATGAATTGAAGAAGGATAAGGTTGGCACTGCTTTGCTTCTTTCTTTATTGAAGTTTCTTCCTCTCTGATCAAGCTTCAGCATATCTCCTTACAGCATATGATACACAGAATTTCTCTTTCCTAAAATGGAGTCAAGTAAAAAGATGGACTCCGCTGGCCCGCTGCAGACTAACCCACCGCTAAAGCTGCATCCTGACCGCAGCGCTGGGACCTCAGTTTTCGTCCCTGAACAAGGAGGCTACAAAGAAAAGTTTGTGAAGGCTGTGGAAGACAAGTACAAGTGTGAGAAGTGCCGCCTGGTGCTGTGCAACCCAAAGCAGACCGAGTGTGGACACCGGTTCTGCGAGACCTGCATGGCTGCCCTGCTGAGCTCCTCAAGTCCAAAATGTACAGCGTGTCAAGAAAGCATCATTAAAGATAAGGTGTTTAAGGATAATTGCTGCAAGAGAGAGATTCTGGCTCTTCAGATCTATTGTCGGAATGAAAGCAGAGGTTGTGCAGAACAGTTAACGCTGGGACATCTGTTGGTACACTTAAAAAATGATTGCCAGTTTGAGGAGCTTCCATGTGCGCGTGCTGACTGCAAAGAAAAAGTCTTGAGAAAAGACCTACGTGATCACGTGGAAAAGGCCTGTAAATACCGGGAGGCCACATGCAGTCACTGCAAAAGTCAAGTCCCCATGATCACATTGCAGAAACACGAAGACACCGAGTGTCCTTGCGTGGTGGTGTCCTGCCCTCACAAGTGCAGCGTCCAGACTCTGCTGAGGAGCGAGTTGAGTGCACACTTGTCAGAGTGTGTCAATGCCCCCAGCACCTGTAGTTTTAAGCGCTATGGCTGCGTTTTTCAGGGCACAAACCAGCAGATCAAGGCCCACGAGGCCAGCTCCGCAGTGCAGCATGTCAACCTGCTGAAGGAGTGGAGCAGCTCCCTGGAGAAGAAGGTTTCCTTGCTGCAGAATGAAAGTGTAGAGAAAAACAAGAGCATACAGAGTTTGCACAATCAGATATGTAGCTTTGAAATTGAAATTGAGAGACAAAAGGAAATGCTTCGAAATAATGAATCCAAAATACTTCATTTACAGCGAGTAATAGACAGCCAAGCAGAGAAACTGAAAGAGCTCGACAAAGAGATCCGTCCCTTCCGGCAGAACTGGGAGGAAGCGGACAGCATGAAGAGCAGTGTGGAGTCCCTGCAGAACCGCGTGACTGAGCTGGAGAGCGTGGACAAGAGCGCTGGGCAGGTGGCTCGGAACACAGGCTTGCTGGAGTCCCAGCTGAGCCGGCACGACCAGATGCTGAGTGTCCACGACATCCGTCTGGCCGACATGGACCTGCGGTTCCAGG